TCACCCAATCATAGGCAAATATAAAACCGCATTACATTGAGTTAGTTCTGTTTCTGTTTTGCTTACTTCAATGGATCTTCTCGATAGAAATCGATCGAGGAAAGTGATGGAAAGATAAGCCGTATGGTGCTGAAATCCAAACACTGCTCTTGTCTGGATCAAAAACAAAAACAAAAAAAAAAAAAAAAAAAAAGGCCACAAACTTTTACAAACAGAACTCGATTATATAAAACCCCAAACAAGAAGAAAAAAGGATTTAAGAAGAGAAACGAACATTGAAAATCCATTCAATTGCATCCAAACGAGCACATTTGAGCCAGCTAAGGCTTGTTCTCGAACAATCATCGACCTTCATTCTCGAACCGAAACTCATCGTCTCCCTCTGAACCAAATTCTCAATAAACTCACCCTCATTCTCCGCCACAACAAAACACGGATTATCACAATAAATACTGTAAACGGGTCGATCATCATCTTCTTCTTCTTCTTCTTCTTCTTCTTCATCTTCGCCATCGAAACAGGCTTCGGTTTCTCGGCAGAAGAGACTGGAGGGAGAAAAGGAATGGTTATTAGCGTCCGCCATCGAAGCTTTCCTCCGCACACATAAAGGAAACTCAGAATCTAAGAGGCGAAACAAGAAATTGGTATTTGTAGGAATCAAGGACCGAGTGGAGACAGAAGAGATAGGATTGAGAGAAGAAGAGAGTGAAATCCGGGTAAGAGTGCGGGTTTGGTGCCGCCAAAATAAGCGGATGAGATAAAGAGAAGAAGGGCGTTATTTTTAGCGGTTACCTTGAAAACTATTAAGTATAACGCTACAGTTGGTGTATATAATAAATAGTCTTACGACTTATGAACTACAGCTGTCTTTCCAAAATCTCTCTCTCTCTTCTTCTTTTTTTTTTCCCCACCCCCTTAAATATTTAATTAATTTAATGGTACAATTATGAAAAATATTATTATTTTAATATTTCCCAAATAGAATTCAAAAATATTTTCTAATAAATATTTTCTAATAAAAAGGTTTATTAATTTAAAAATATTTAAAATCCCCACTTTATAAACAAATAAGGCACTTGAGTGCAATCATATGATAAACTGCAATACAAGACAATATATTAGTTATTATTTTTTTTTTTTTTTTTATCTATTGTGATGTTATACACATATATATACACACGCATACGTATGTATGTATGTGTGTGTGTGCGTGTGTGTACTTAAATTAAGAAATAAATTAATATTACATTTTTTGTTTTTAATTGGTTGTGTATCAAGATAGAATACTGTACTGCTTCGGTGGCATCTTGGTGAGTGGTGACTTTGACCGAACCAAATTAATTAATGTTTTTATTTTAAAATTAATATTTAAATATTTAGAACGGGATTAGTAATTCAGGGGCTCAATTGTAAATTTGTCAAAAATTGTGTGTTCAATAAG